GTTTTGTTTTTTCTCTCCTTCATACTATTTGTCGAACCCTTTACTTAACACAGATTTAATTACTTGTGTATAAAGTCAATGTAAAATAGATCTTGGTAAAAATAAGAGTGGGAATAAGAGAGGGAGCAGGAATTTTTTTTTATAACAATAAAGCTGTATAGTTCTGCATACATTCCTATGGACTTACTTCTAAGTATATTTTAGAAACTTGCCATGGGCGCCAGTTTTAGACCCGTCTGCTCCATTTCCAATCCAGCTCTCTGCTATGGCCTGGGGAAAGCAGTATAGGATGGCCCAACTCCTTGGGCCCCTGCACCTACGTGGGAGACCTGGAGGAAGCTCCTGGCTCTGGATCGGTGCAGCTCCAGCCGTTGCGGCCAATGGGGAGAGAACCATTAGATGGAGGACCTCTCTCTCTCTCTCTCTCTCTCTTTCTCTCTCTCCTTCTCTGTGTGGCTCTTCCAAATAAATAAATAAATCTTAAAAAAAAAAAAAAAAAACTTGCCATGGGACCCTAAATCCCATTAAGCTGGGTGGTAAAATACCATCTAAAGTGTTAAAGTGGTCATATAGATAGGGTTAAGTGTTAAAGGGATCATATAAATAAGATCAAGTGTCTGGTAATAATAATAGAATTAAAAAAAAGAATGTTCCAACATGGGAAGCAGTCCACAAAGCAGATTCATAGAATGACAATAGCTTTAACTAGCACTCTGACCTCAGAATCATCCCTTAAGGCATTCTGGTCTGGCTGAAAAGCCCATGAAAGCACTTCAGTCTTGGAAAGCCAACACACTGTGGCAAAAAAAATAAATAAATAAATAAAAATAAATCCTACATGAAGGATCTCTGTGAGAGAGACTCTAGTACAAAGAAGTGGCCATCAAAGAAGGATGTACTTTTCCCTGAAGGGAGAACTTCCACTTTGTTTATGGCCTTGTCTAAGTACTGACAGAGTTTGTGGATTCAAAAGCCTTCCATAGCCTTGCCAACTCATGTCAAAAGCCTTGGGTGATCACTGACATCATACATGGAGGTTAATTGTTAAATTAACAACAGGAGTCACTGTGTACTAATTTCCCATGCAGGACCTTGGTCCTCAAAGAGTGTATTATGAGAATTAACTGTAAAACTTGTTCTCAAACGGTTTTTTGGGTGTGCATGTATGTGTGCATATGCACACAAATTGTTGAAATCCTTACTTAGTACAGAGTTGGCCTTCTGTGTATAAAGTTAATTGAAAATTAATCTTAATGGAGAATGGAACTGAGAATGGAAGACAGAGGAGGAGGTGGGGTGGGAGGAATCACTATATTCCTAAAGTTGTACTTAGGAAATTTGTACTCATTAAATAAAAGGTTTCTTTGAGAGAAAAATAACTGTGTTTAAATACTGACTTTGACTAGCCGGGTTGTATGTGTGCATGCAAGTTTCCTAACTTTGTGGGGGCCGATGCTCTAGCACAATGAGGTAAGCTGACATCCTGCTAATGCACCTCAGAAAGCAAAGATGGTCCAAATACCTGGGCCACTACACCCACACTGGATACCTGGATGGAGTTCCTGGCTCCTGGCTTCAGCCTAGCCCAGTCCTGGCTCTTGCAACCATTCAGAAGTGAACCAGTGCATGGAAGATGTTCTCTCTCTCTCTCTCTCTCTGCCTTTCCCATAAATTTTTTTTTTAATAAAAATGTCAGGGCCAGCACTGTGGCATAGCAGGTTGGGCCTCCACCAGCGGCACCAGCATCCCATATGGGCACCAGTTTGAGACCCAGCTGTTCCATTTCCGATCCAGCTCCCTGCTAATGCACCTGGAAAAGCAGAGAAAGATGGCCCAAGTGCTTGGGCCCCTGCACCCCTGTCAGAGACCCAGATGAAGCTCCTGCCTTCAGATCAGCTCCGGCCGCTGCAGCCATTTGGGGAGTGAACAAGTGGGTGGAGGACTTCTCTGTCTCTCCCTCTGTCTGTAACTCTGCCTCACAAATAAACAAATCTTTAAAATAAAATGAAAACTTCCTAATCTCTCTAGGTGTGAAAGTCTTCTTCAATAAAATGAAGAGTTTAAATTACGTGACCTGAAAAGCAGTTGCAAGCTTTAAAATTCTAGGAAGTTACACATTCGGAGAGGAGAACACAGACCTCTTAGGAAATGAAAGGTCTAGAACAACATTCTTCCTCTGCACAGAGTAGAGAGCAGTGCAGCCCTCAGAGACAGAAGCCTCAGCCCAGCTGCTCGAGAGCATCACGGCCACTCACCCCCGATGCGCCTCGCATGGAAACCCACAGCTTCGAAGGGCCGGGCCTGGTCTCAGGACATTCCAGCCCTTGGGATTATTTGGTGACGTTTCTGTCTCCTACCCACCAAACAGGGTACAATTTTCTAAAAGCAGAGAAAATCCTTCCCAAGAAAATAAACACTGCCAAACAACTGTCCCATTCTGTTACCTATTTGGATTACATAATTACTGTGAAGTCAAGACTTTCTCAGTGACACACCAAAAAAGAACTCTCGGCTCATGGGAGCAGAACTGCCTTCGTCTCCTCTGCCCCACCATTTTAAAACAGCTCTTCCAAGTCCCTAAAAAGCAGTCCCCGGCAGCCCCGGTGAACAGTGATGAAAAACTCCACGGCCTCAACCTCTGCTGAGAGCAGCAACTGAGATCATGCGACAGTTCATCTGTGGCGACATCCGTTCTCCTATGGCAAACTTCATCAATAAATATGCTCACAGGGCCAGTGTTTGGTGTGGCAGTTAAGGTGCCGCCTGGGACATCCACATCCTGCACTGGAGGGCCTGTGTTCCAGTCCTTGGCTTTGCTGAAGATTCCAGTTTCCTGCTAATGCACCTGGAGACAACAAGTAACAGCTCGACTACTTGGGTCCCTGCCATCCACACGGGAGACCCTGACGGTTCTGGGCTCTGGCTTCAGCCTGGCCCAGGTCTAGCTGCTGCAGGCATTTCAGAAAGAGACTAGGGGATAGAAAATCTCTTTCTCTCTTCCTCCCTCTACTTTTCAAATAAAATGAAAACAAAATTTTTTGAAAATAAATACTGGGGATGGCACTGTGGCATGAGTAAAGCTGCTGCCTGCAGGGCTGGTATCCCATATGGATACTAGTTAAGAGTCCCGGCTGCTCCACTTCCGATCCAGCCCTCTGCTATGGCCTGGGAAAGCAGTAGAAGATGGTCCAAGTCCTTGGGCCCCTGCACCCATGTGTGAGACCTGAAGAAGTTCCTGACTCCTGGCTTCAGAACGGCCCAGCTCTGGCCACTGTGGTCATTTGGGGAGTGAACCAGTGGATGGAAGACCTCTCTGTCTCTTTCTCTGAGTAACTGACATTTAAATGGATAAATTAATCTTTAAAGAAAAGAGAAACACCTTCACTAACACCCCAAACTGCTCTGCAGAGACAGAGAGAGGGCCCTGGATTCTTCCACGTTCTGTTGAGGATAATCTGGACAAATCCATCTTCATGTTTTCTGTCCCACTGCGTGTAAAGTGGGCCCCACCCATAAGTGGTAACTGGCACCGGTTACCAGTGACCCCAGGAAACAGTACACCCTTTCCCTGCTCACCCCTGCACCAGTCCTCAGAAGCTCCCCTTTCAAGAGTGTGCAAGGCAAACACCACCGGGCCACGCTCAGGGAAACCCCAGGGAGAACAGCGCTAATTAAGCCATCTACACTTCTCCAGGTGAGGCAGTGGTAAAAAAAAAAAAAAAAGGCTGAGGGTTCCCTGTAGAGCCTGCTCCAACTTGTTGTCTGGATCCAGTAGAAATAAACCTGTGATCACTGCACTCTGCTCATTCAGTTCTTGTGACAATTAAATGAGATCACGCACGGAAAGTACTAAGAACTTGGGACACAATCAACTCAGTAAGTAAGTGACGTAACTGTAAAAAAGAAAAACAAAACAAGACTCGCCGCCGCCGCCTGCTCATCAGCTTACTCAGAATGAGGAACACTGAGCCATCCGGCCATTGGCCCGTTCCAGCAGTGTCCATGCTGGCGTCTAGCTCTCGCGTCATTAGTTACTTGCTAGCGGTAACGCAGATTCTTCCACAACCCCCGGGGACTCCTGCCCCGTGACCCACTCCTCCCTCCCAATGTGGGAAACCAGGAGAGCAGAGACATGAACGACCTTTACAGAGATCCACAAGGCCTTGCTGGCATCTGCGTGGAGGTTCTGCCGGAGAAGCCAAACAGCCAACACCAAACCACAAACTTCAGTGCGGGGAGAAGCAGGACGAGGCCACCCCATCCGAACATCCACTCCAGAGGGCCACAGCCCCGTCATGGGGCACCCATGCAAAGTCTCGTTCTTCCTTAAACCCCAGCTACAGATAAACTCTTCCTAAGGCACACCGAGCCAGCTGCCTTCTGCGCTTCCCCTGCTGTCTGGAGATGCAGAATATACTTTCCTTCCAGGGGCAAAACTGTTTCTCAAGATCTCCTGAAAATAAGGGAGGATATGCGCTATGCAGAACTGACTATAATTTATAATTTAATCCGCTGGAGGCACACACATGACATGCCGGTTCAGTTTTCCAGCTACACACTCCAGTACATACTATGAAGGAAACACGAGAGGTGGCAAAATGGATAACGTCTGGACCACAGAGAAGATGGTACATTTGCAACAGTTACGAGGCCGTGCAGCCAATGAGTGGCCATCAAACTCTTTAGTGTTTGCTCGGTGGCACGCCTACTGAACTCGTAAAAGAACAGCCCATGTCACAATGTTGGTAGCTTCTAAATGGTGGGATTTTTGGTAACACAAGGGGCATCCGTGTGTGTCTGTGCCACTTTCAAAAGACCGGGACACTCTGGCAGCTCTTGACATTTCTACACCATGAGTTCCAAATTGTACAGGGGCAGATGCAGCCCAAAGCTCCGAAGAACGGCGAGCAACACGTTTCACTTGATGTGAGTTCTGGAAGGACAGCCGTCTACCACCACCAACACGCATGCTCTCGGCAACTCCAAGTAACCAGTGCAACTTGTAAAAGTCAGGCTTGGGTTTTTTGTTTTTTTATTCAATACATTCTAATCAAAGAGTAACAGCAGTAAATAAACACTTTGAAAAACAGGCAGGTATCCCCCTATCTCTGGAAGAAAATTAAGTCCGAGTATTTATTCTACATGGTAGAAGGGAGACAACTGCTGATGTCCATGGTTAGACAATTCAGGACAGCTTGGGAATTTCTAAAGCCATTTCCAAAAAAACTCAATGGCAACGGCTTGGGACACAGCTACCTCAAGGGATACACTGTCTACGTCGGTTTTCATGAACAAGGATTGAGTTGCACCTGTTTAAGCATGACATTCTTGTCTTTAGCCTTAAAGGAAAAGAGAAAAGTCTTTTCCATTTGCACCAGTTTGAAATAGTTCTTAAATAAGGCTCCCTTAACGGATTACTACAGTACTCCTTCAAAGGAGAGAGTTCGTACGTGTAGTAAAAAGACAAATACAGGATTTCATGGTCTTTTTTTTTTTTTTTTTTTTGGCTGATAGGTAATTGCATAAAATGAGGGGTACATACTCACAAGCACGATCTGTTTAACGAAACTCTTAGGTACATCAGAAAGCAAAACAGAAACGTCCTGAAACCAGCTCAGACCACCAGGCCTTTTCTACAGAACATCACAGCCTGCGTCAGCTTGGTTCCTCCCACCTCTTCAGGACCCTGCGTGTAGCTCCTTCCTCTGCTGATGGAGCACGGCCCCCGGACCTAACCCCAGGGGACCTCAGAGAGGCCAGGCACTCTGGCCCAGTGCTCCTTTGGCCTTCGCTTGGGACATTTTATCCTTAGTTCAAAGGGATCAATTGGCCTTGGTCAGCCTTAGGAAGGCTAGTATCACTCAGGTGAACGTAGCTGAGGGGAAAGTGCAAATACCTAGCTACCTCTTCACGCCTTTTTTTTTTTCCTTTAATTAGATTGACTTCAGCGGTTCTTACAAAGAATCCCGCGTGGTTATCCAGAGCAGTTCACTCAAGTTTTGGTTCTCTTTTACATAGCTGCATTCGGAGATAGTCTACATGAGGCATGTTTAGAAAAAGAGAAACACTTATACCTGGAATTTATATTCTTCCAAGTAATCTTTTAGTCTGGTGGGTAAAGGCAGTCCCCAGATGGTGCCGGTGCACTTGTTAATGGCCAGTCGACAGAGGTGTTGCAGGGGTGGCGCCGATGTGTAGAGCGGTTTGGTCAGATACAGATGAACCGTGCCGTTCCGGGGGGCTTCCGGGCCCGTCCGCTTATCCTTGCACATCTGAACATAGTAGTCGATCAGATGCACCACACTGTCAAACTGTTTAAGCTTGGACTTGACACATATGATGGAGTCCAACCTGAACTTCCCATCTTGGTATTCGATCCGGAGGTTGGTGGGCCCAGCTGACGTTTTAACAGATATGGTTAGTAGGTAGTCTGAGTGCGAACTGTCTCGAATCAAGAAAGTTCCCTCGGGTGCCTCTTTTAATTTCTCTTTGGCTTCATTAACAGTCATACTGCCCCAGTACCATCCTGGGGTTTTTGCCCAAAAAGAAAAAAAGAAAAAGAGTAAAACAGTTATTACGAGGATTTTTAGAATAAAGCAAGTACCTGGCAATGATTTTTCTAGCTCTTAAAAAAAAAGTGTGTGTGTGGCAGGGGGATGGAGTGATTTACTGGGGCTACCACGAATGAACGCTTTTGGTTATAATTTAATGAAAATTTGAGACTTTTATTTTCTGAACACAAACTGAGCCACTGCTGCTGCTGCTGTTGATTTTTTTTTTAAAAAAACTGGGTTTTCTGTAGCTATCCTTTAATGCATGTTAAGATTTTATTCTAACAAGCCAAAAAAAAAAAAAAAGGTTGCAATAGGAATAGGACAAACTGGCTGCTGAAGCATAATGCTTTCAATGCTATTTAACTGAAAACTATGATTTAAGCAAACGAGAAACGAATCAGAAGTTGGAAATAAGTCATGCCCTTTAAAAAAGCTGAAAGCCCCAACCCTAGTCATTCCCACGCAGCGAAAAACAGAAGCAGCATCTTCCGGGCGGCTGGTGGCCCCCCAGCCCCCTCCCCTCCAAACAGCCAGCTCACAGCGGACAAGGGACAACCTCCCCTTGTCCGAAGCCCTGGAAAGCACTGCCCTGTGTTTGTTTTGAAAGCACGGCTCTGGTACAATAGCTTCTGTTGGCCGCCAGCTTCGATGACGGCTAATTCTACCAGTCACTGAGAAACGGGGAGCCCCAATCGATAATCAGTGCCGCAGGCTGACAACCTTCGCTGAACTTTCCTGGATTTCGCCCGGATTCGAATCCAGGCACAGCCGCCAGTCCGTCGTCGGTCTGCCCCGCATGCTCAGCTCCCCAGCCCATTTTCAAAAGTAACTCAAAGGCGTTCTGCACTTCAGGAGTTCGGACGGTGTGCCCCCCCACTCCGACCCCCAGGTAGGGGAGAGCCAGTGGCCCGCTTGCCAAGACCGCCGGGGAACTTCTCCCCTGTCGCTACCAAAAACTTCAACTTTGACTCAAACGTAAGCTTTTAGGATCCAGATTTCGAAAGCCTGAACGATCTCCCAGATATCTGAAAAAATCCTCTTACTGCCTTTCAGATGCCGAGGGCCGCCGGCGAGCTGCGCAGAGCGCACGACTGCCCCGGAAACAAGCCAGCCCGGGGCGCGCTGCCCCTGGAGGCCATGCTCGCGCCGCCTTCCTCGCACTCGGTCGGTCCCTGCCCTTGGCCACCAAGATCGCGGGCTGCAGCGGTGGCTGCGGGGAGCCCTAGCACGCCGCGGAGGCACAGGGCGCTTTTTCCCGCCAGCCGGAGCGCCCAGCCCTGAGCAGCCGAAGAAAACAGGAGAGGGTCCAGCACGCTCAAAGGCTGTTTCCAAGGAGCCCCTCGCACGTTCTGCCATCCCCAAGCTCCCCGGGAACCAGTTTCCTTTCGAATTCCCAAGGATCTGGGGCCGTGCGGGGCGCGGCGCGGGAGGGGGGGGGGGGGGTGCATCCTCGCCGCAGTTCCCCGCCCTAGAGAGGAGACAGGAAGTCAGGGGTCCCATTTCTAACCCGTCCTGCAGCTTCCCGACCTCAGCCCCATTTGCCACAGCACTTCCCCCGCCTCTGAGGAGGTGTCCCCTCCCGCACACCCCGCCGGTCCCTACCTGTTTGGCTGAGCTCGCGCAGAGCCTTCGCCAGACGCGCCGCCTCTGGGGACGGCTCCTCCGGCGGCCCCGTGGTCCCCCACTGGCTCCGCGTCCCTTCCGCGCCATTCCCGGAGGGCTCGAGGCACCGCAGGGTCATGGGAGGAGGGTCACCGCGGCAAAGACAGGTGGCCGCCCGAGCTGGGGTCCCAGAGGGCTTCGCGTCCTTCCTGGGAGTCAGTGGGAGCCCCCAGACGAGTCCCCGCTGGGGGTCCGAAGCGGTGACAAAAGAGGAGGGGGTGGCGCACTGCTGGTTCCGTGTCGCCAGGTTCCAGCGGACAGATGCCACAGTCGCCCACAGACGCGCTCAGCCAGAGAGAGTCTGCAAAGAGAAAGTGGGGCGTTTGGTCAGTGCGCGCCGGACCCCTGCAGCTGGGGTGGGGGTGGGGGTGGGGAAGCAGAGTCGTGGAAAATCCCGGGGACTCCTCGGCCCCTAGGCTCCTGCACCATTTAACCTCAAGCATCCAACTGCCGCCCCGGCCCAGCTCTGCAGAGAAAAGATGAGAGAGCAGGGATTCCAGACTCAAGAGTTGGCCAGGGAGGGGCAGTGGGAGCCAGGATGAGAGCGGACGGGGCGTTTTCCCGCCCAGGGCTGCTCGCTGAAATCACGCACTGTCAAGCCAGGAAGAGCAAACAGTCACCTGCGGGTCCAGGGGGCATGGGCCCTTGTCAAGGACAAGAAGGAAGATTTAAAAGAGGAAAGACCAAGACAGATCGCCAAACTGGCACTCCCAACCCACACCCCCGCGCAGCCAGAGGCCTCTCCGGAGCCAGCACCCGGCACCAACCTGGTCCCCCGCCCTAAAAAGCTGCGGGACTCCCGGGGCCTGAGCCGCCAGCCCGGGGTGCAGAGGTGCACGAGCAGCTGCATCCCTTGCCCGGGAGGCAGCCGCGCTGCCCTCCCCCCCCCACCCCCCGCGCGCCGCCGCCGCCTCCCGGTGCCCGCTCGGGGCAGAGCTGGGGGGGCGCCTCGGCGGTCGCGCCCGGTCCGGGACGGCCGCCGCGGGCGCTGTCGAGGAATCGGCCCGAGTGCAAAGCCACCGCGGGAGCTCCGAGCCCAGGCCGGGGCTGAGCGGGCAGCAGCGAGCGCGGCGGGACGCGCGAACACCCAACGCCGCCGAGCGCTTACCTCGGCCGCGGCCGCCGCCGCCTCCGCACCAGGCAGTCTCCCGGGCGGACATGGGGCGGGGGAGCCGGGAGGGGCCCGGGAAAGGGGGGGTGGGGGCTCTGCCCGAGTGTCCCCTGTCGACGTTTAATTTGGGAACGAGGTGCTCGGGGATGCGACAAGCCCTGCGCCCAGCCGCGGCAAGACTTCTGTGCGCAAGGGGCGGACAAAAATCTCAGGGATCATCGCCTCGACTAACCCCCGCCGCGCGCGCGCGCCGCCAACCCCGACTCCGACACCCGGTCGGGGCTCGGACACCCCCGCTCCGGGGCAGTTGCCGGCGTTCCTCTGGCCGCGACCGAGGAGGTGGGAAGGAGAGAGGGAGGGAGGAACAAGGGAGGAGGCGGGCTGGTGGGGAGGAGCGGGAGATCAGGTTATTAGGATTATTAATTTGGGTGGCTGTTCAAGGGAGGAGGGGGGGACAACTCCGGAGACTTCCCGACGCCGACAAGGCACGGGAGAAGGCAGGCGGCGGCGGCGGCAGCGCCGCGGCTCCGACTCTCCCCTGGCGCTCCCACTGCGGAAGCCCAGGCCGCCCGCCGCTCCCCGCGCCCACGGCCGCGCCCCGCTGCCCTCCCCAGCGACTCTTCTCGGGGCGGAGCCTTCAGGCTCCCCCCGCAACCCACGCCGGTACCTGCCGCGGGCGCTAGGAATCCTGAGGCTGTGCGCCCGGGGCCCCGGCGCGCACCGTCCGCGGCCCGCGCAGCGCCGGCGGCTGCGGGCGAGGAGGCTCATGCTTCAAGGGGAGGAAAGCCCAAGGCCCGCGAGCGGCGGTGGCGGCGAGACTTGGCAAGAGTTAACCGTCTGGCCCCGGAGCGCCGCGCGCGCGCGACTCCCCAGCCCCTCCCCCGGCGAGCGCGCCTCGCGCCCCGCGCCCCGCCCGGCTGCCGCGGAGGCCGCTTTCCAGGAACTTTCCAGGAATCCGCCTCACGTGACCGTGGCCCCCGCCGCCGCTTTAAAGAGGCTCCGGCGCTAATGCGCAGGCTTCGAGGCGGAGCTGCTGCGAGCGCTCCGGCGCGCGGGTGAGGGCAGTGTGGACGCCTGGGACTCCGCCCTCCCCTGACCCCGCACCCCGGGGTGATCGGGGGCAAGTGGGAGGTGTCCCCGGCCACCTCCAACCCCATCTCGGCGCCGGAGCCCCCCCGGTCCAGCGAATAACGACAGCGCTCCTCGGCCACCGCGGGCGGGGGTGGCCCTCTCTCCACTGGTCGGGCGACCCCTCTCTTCTCTGGTCCTGCGACCCCCGGCCGCACGTGGGCGGGGGGGTGCAGGACAGAATAGGGGTCCTCGAGACCGGTTCCCTCTAGCTCCGAGACACAGCGGTGGAGGTGGGGGCGAGCCCCGAACCACGCCCGGGGCCGGAGGTTCCCTCGGCCCGGGTCCTAGAAGGCAGCGGGCGCGCGGAGAGCGGCGCCTCCTTAAGTCCCCTCCCCCTGGCGCTCCCGGTCGCCGGCTGCGGCGGCCGCGGGGCCGGCTCCTCCCTTACCCCGCCGCGCAGCCCCGGAGGCTCCCGGAGGCCCCGCGGCCCGGCCGGCTCACCTGCGCCCGCTGCGGTGGAGGCGGCCTTACCTGCGCGCCCAGGAGGGGCCGGGTAGCGCGCGCGCGGTCCGCAGAGCGCTCGTCTCCGGTGCCCTGCAGGGCTGGCGTGCGGGGCCGAGAATCGGGAGGATCCCGGCGCCTCCTCCTTCCGCGGGACCCTCACCTCCCACCCACCCCGTTGGAGGCCACCTGGCTTCGGTGGAAACACATCTCCTTGCCTGCCCTCCCTCCCCCCCGAAATGTGACCTACTTTAAATGTGACCTACTTTTTTAAAAAGCCATTTACAATCACGGGAAAACCGGATCCAAATTTTCGATAACCATTTTTCTTTGAAATACTATTCTATTGCATCACTGCTCAAAAGCTTGAAAGGTCAAGGGCCACTTTTGGTTGAAGCGGCGGCTAGGGGGGAAGTTGGGCGAGGGAGGCGCGGCTTACAAACCGTGCCTGCTGCTCCCCCTGCTGGCCGTGGGAGGAAGCGTGAGCCTCTATGATTTTCTCAATGATTTTCCTGCTTTTGAGTAAATAGCCATGCATTGGAGACGCCGCCGAATCGGAGAGGGGAGCAATTCCCAACTAAGAAAAGGCATTGTCAGTCCTGTGCGGAGAGCCGTGTGTGTGTGTGTGTAAGAATCGCGCAGAGAGGAGCTAATTGATAAAAACCCTCTACAAAGTAGTTGAATGATTTTGCACAAGTCACTTGCTGCACTTCCCCCCACCCGGACTTTCCTACAAGGAACTGGACTCGGGTTCTCGGTGATGGACTGGGATGAATGAACAAATCAGATTCCGTGTGGAGTTTGCAGGCCTATGACCTTTAAGAACCACAGCTCTGCTGGTGTTCACTGTACTGTAAATTATTCTGTGTAGCTCCTCCTTCCATGACAAAGAATCCCAGAGGAAGGGTGTACCCACTTCAACATAGTTTAAATTAAAAGATATTTCTAAAAATTTTGCAAATTTAAAACAAACTTAATTTCTGTTTACTTGTTGAGATGAATCTTCCAGCAACCCTTCTTTATATAACTTTCCTCTTGGCTCCTCAGGGCCTTTGTGCATGCTGTTTCTTCTACCCAGAGTGCTCCTGCCCAGGGCTGGCTCTCATTCAGGAACTAGCTCAACGGCACCTCCACAAAGTATCAGTGCCCATGGATATCACCGAGGTGCAATGCCAGCTGTAGGTAGGGGCACCAAACTTTGTACCAAAAAAGGATTCTCAAATTTTGTTTCTGAAATGTTTGTCCTCAAAGGCTAGCATTTTGTTGGTTTTTTTAGTCCTCAAGAAACACATATGGGAGTCACATAAGAGAATGTTTATGGGATCATGTTAAGTGAAAAAAAGTAGGCTATGAAATTTTATCTATGCTATGATTACAACATTATACAGTTATGCAGGCACATGGGCAAACACAGAAGGGAATGTGGGAAAATGAAAGCAGCTGTTTTCAAGATGGGAGGATATGGGTGAATTTTTAAACCTGACTTTCCTTAATACTGTTCCAATATTTTTGTTAGTCATCATTTCTCCAAAACTGCATCTAAGTCAATATGCCACTCTCTGGGAGCAGAGTGTGTTTTATAAGGCTTGTAACTCCAGTCCCATGGGACCACTCACCTGGGCTCCAGACCTGCTCCCAGCATCACCTTTCAGGCATCTAACAAGCATTTCCAATTTTTCTTTAATTTTGTGTTTAAAAGGCAGAGAGAGACCCATCCGCTAGTTCACTCCCAAAATGCCTGCAAAAGCCAGAGCTGGGCCATGTAAAAGCCAAGAGCCAAGAAGTCCATCCAGGTCTCCCACACAGGTAACAGGGACCCAAGTACTTGGGCCATCCCCTGCTGCCTCCCAGGGTGCACATCAGCAGGAAGCCGGAACTGGCAGTGGGGCTAGGACTGGAACTCAAACACTTCAGTATGGGATGTAGGCATCTTAACTGGCATCTAATGGCTAATCAAAGTCCATCCCTGGCATCTCCAATTCCCTATGTCTCAAAGAGAGACCTGACAAGCTCTCCCCCTTCTAACAACAATAGCAACAACAAAAAGCAGCTCCTCTGTACCCTTCCTCTCTGAAAACGTGAGTTCCATCTCTTAGTTGGCCCGGCCATAAAAGCCTAAGTGCCACTGTGGATGCCTCTTTCTCACATACCCCACATCGCACCTGGAGTTCAATCACTGGACTCTGATTTCACAAGAACGCAGAGTCGGAGCACCTGCACATGGCCCACGGCACGCCGGGCCAATCTCTGACCGGGCGAGTGCAGCAGCCTCTCGAATGGCCTCCTGATGGGATCATGAGCAGGACTCACTTTAGGGACAGTGTCCCTGCTCCAACACAGATGACTGCATTGCCCCCCCCCCCCAGGAAAACACAGAACCCTAATAGCTGCTCACATGGCCCAGCAAGATGCTGCCCCATTTACCTCTCTGATCCCATTTCCTTTTTTTTTTTTTTTTTTTCTGACAGGCAGAGTGGACAGTGAGAGAGAGAGACAGAGAGAAAGGTCTTCCTTTGCCATTGGTTCACCCTCCAATGGCCGCCGCGGCCGGCGCACTGCAGCCAGCACACTGCGCTGATCCGATGGCAGGAGCCAGGTACTTCTCCTGGTCTCCCATG